CATCATCCAAGATGGCCACCAGCGGGGGACTTAGTTTAACATAGGACCCTATGGGAAATACATACAAATGTCTTCTTTTAGAGAACCACTGAATGGAATGAAACCAAACATGGCATGAATGTTCCTTATGAGGTTCTGACCAAGAGTTGTTCCTTTGTAGCCGATCCATCATCCAAGATGGCCGCCAGCGGGGGACTTAGTTTAGCATAAAACCCTATGGGAAATACATACAAATGTCTTCTTTTAGAGAACCACTGAATGGAATGAAACCAAACATGGCATGAATGTTCCTTATGAGGTGCTGACCAAGTGTTGTTACTTTGCAGTCGGTCCATCATCCAAGATGGCCGACAACAGGGAACTTAGTTTAACAAAGGACCTATGGGAAATACATACAAATGTCTTCTTTTAGAGAACCACTGAATAGAATGAAACCAAACATGGCATGAATCTTCCTTATGAGATGCTGATCAAGTGTTGTTACTTTGTAGCCGATCCATCATCCAAGATGGCAGCCAGCGGGGGACTTAGTTTTACATAGGACCCTTTGGGAAATACATAAAAATGTCTTCTTTTAGAGAACCAATAATGGAATGGAACCAAACATGGCATGAATTTCCTTATGAGATGTTGACCAAGTGTTGTTACTTTGAAGCCGATCCATCATCCAAGATGGCCGACAGCGGGGGACTTAGTTTAACATAGGACCCTATGGGAAGTGCATACAAATGACTTCTTTTAGAGAACCACTGAATGGAATTGAACCAAACATGGCATGAATGTTCCTTATGAGTTGTTGACCAAGAGTTGTTACTTTGCAGTCGATCCATCATCCAAGATGGCCGCTAGGGGGGGGGGGCTTAGTTTAACATAGGACCCTATGGGAAATACATACAAATGTCTTCTTTTAGAGAACCACTGAATGGAATGAAACCAAACATGGCATGAATCTTCCTTATGAGATGCTGACCAAGTGTTGTTACTTTGTAGCCGATCCATCATCCAAGATGGCAGCCAGCGGGGGACTTAGTTTTACATAGGACCCTTTGGGAAATACATAAAAATGTCTTCTTTTAGAGAACCAATAATGGAATGGAACCAAACATGGCATGAATGTTCCTTATGAGATGTTGACCAAGTGTTGTTACTTTGAAGCCGATCCATCATCCAAGATGGCCGACAGCGGGGGACTTAGTTTAACATAGGACCCTATGGGAAATGCATACAAATGACTTCTTTTAGAGAACCACTGAATGGAATTGAACCAAACATGGCATGAATGTTCCTTATGAGTTGCTGACCAAGAGTTGTTACTTTGCAGTCGATCCATCATCCAAGATGGCCGCTAGGGGGGGGGGGCTTAGTTTAACATAGGACCCTATGGGAAATACATACAAATGTCTTCTTTTAGAGTACCACTGAATGGAATGAAACCAAACATGGCATGAATGTTCCTTATGAAGTGCTGACCAAGTGTTGCTACTTTGTTGCTGATTTACTGTTCAAGATGGCCACCAGGATATTTTATTAAATAACGGGACCAATATTAATCAAAATTTGGCCTCAATCATTATTTGGGTATCTGTTATGATTTTTATCTATCTTTACATGATTTCTAAAACCAAAGTAGATTCAGGTGAGCGACACAGGCTCTTGAGAGCCTCTAGTTATGCATTATCATGGGTTTTTGATATTTGGCACATGGGTGTAACACTTAATGATGACATGTGGCATACCATAGATGATGACATCTGACATTGACCCTCATAGTAAAATAAAAGACTTTTAGAATGTCTGCCCCCAAACATATATGTTCTTGCATGCCATCACAAGATCATATCAATTTTACTCTGGGGTAAATTCCCAGGGTCATGTCTACTCTATATTCGAACTTTTTTTGTTATCCCTCAATCATACAGATAATCACCCTAAATTTTATATCTTATTCAAATCCTTGTTAATATAGGTCTAGTTCGCCATAGTTTTTGTCATTTATATATAAGGGGTCCGGTCTTACACCCTTCAAATGTAAAGTTCAAAATGTACTCATATCCTTACCTCTAAACTATACATAATTTTAACTGTCAAAACAACACTTTTATATTACACAATAGGGCGCATATCTCACATGGAGGATCCTCAAACCTCTCGTATCATAAATTATTAAAAATATGAAAAACTCATATTTTTCAACCCCTTAAACATAAATATTCTATACTGCCAATATAGGACGGTTTTTGTCGAGCCTGCGACTTTTGTCGCAGAAAGCTCGACATAGGGATAGTGATTCGGCTGCGGCGGCGGCGTTAGCTAACTTCTTAAAAGCTTTATATTTTAGAAGGTAGAAGACCTGGATGCTTCATACTTTGTATATGGATGCCTTATGTTACGAAGTTTCCGTCAGTCACATGTCCAATGTCCTTGACCTCATTTTCATGGTTCAGTGACTACTTGAAAAAAAAGTTAACATTTTTTGTAATGTTAAATTCTCTCTTATTATAAGTAGTAGGATAACTATATTTGGTATGTGCGTACCTTGCAAGGTCCTCATGCCCGTCAGACAGTTTTCACTTGACCTCGACCTCATTTTATGGATCAGTGAACAAGGTTAAGTTTTGGTGGTCAAGTCCATATCTCAGATTCTATAAGCAATAGGTCTAGTATATTCGGTGTATGGAAGGACTGTAAGGTGTACATGTCCAACTGGCAGGTGTCATCTGACCTTGACCTCATTTTCATGGTTCAGTGGTTATAGTTAAGTTTTTGTGTTTTGGTCTGTTTTTCTTATACTGTATGCAATAGGTCTACTATATTTGGTGTATGGAATGATTGTAAGGTGTACATGTCTAGCTGGCAGGTGTCATCTGACCTTGACCTCGTTTTCATGGTTCAGTGGTCAAAGTTAAGTTTTTGAGTTTTGGTCTTTTTTTCTAATACTATATGCAATAGGTCAACTATATTTGGTGTATGGAAATATTTTATGATCTATATGTCAGTCGCGCAGGTTTTATATGACCTTGACCTCATTTTCACGGTTCATTGCTCAGTGTTAAGTTTTTGTGTTTTGGTCTGTTTTTCTTAAACTATAAGCAATAGGTCAACTATATTTGTTATATGGAAGAATTGTTAACTGTACATGTCTGCCTGTCATGGTTCATCTGACCTTGACCTAATTTTCATGGTTCATTGGTCAATGTTTAGTTTTCTTGGTTAATGTTAAGTTTATGTGACAGTTGTAATAAAGCTTTATATTTAGGACTATCAACATAATATCAATGATTAGTAAAGAAGGCGAGACATTTCAGCGTGTGCACTCTTGTTTTTGTTGCACCATAGAGTTTTGTTTATGTATTGCTTATTCTTGATTTATTTTAAAGAGAAGTTTCTTCTTAGAAGGGTTTGAAATGAAGTGAACTATTTGTGTTTAATTACATATACCTGTAAATGTATTAGATTTTACTGAATTAATTGCAAACAATTATTTCCACGGAGGAAGAATACTTTAAACAATAAACATTGGGATTCATAGACTGCAACAGGGAAATAGGAGAGCAGGGCAATGACTAGTGGATTTATAGACTGCAACAGGGAAATACGAGGGTGGAGTAATACACTGTAAAATTACATAGACTGTAACAGGGAGGTAGGAGGGTTTGGCAATTAATTGTAGGATTGATAGATTGCAACAGCACAATAAGAGGATGTGGCAATACACGGGGCGGGGATTCATAGACTGTAGCATTGAAATAGGAGGGTGACGCAATAAACTGATGGATTCATACTCTGCCATAGCTAAATATAGGAGGGTGTGGCAATACACGGGGGGATTAATAGACTTCAACAGCACAATAAGAGGGTGGGGTAATCAACTGGAGGATTAATAGACTGTAACAGCAACATAGGAGGGTGTGGCAATACACAAAAGGGGGGATTCATAGACTATAGCATTGAAATAAGATGGTGACACAATAAACTGAAGGATTTATACACTGCAATAGCATAATAGGAGGGTGACGCAATTAATTGTAGGAGTAATAGTCTACAACAGAACAATAAGAGGGTATGGCAATACACGGGATGATTCATAGACTGCAGCAAGGAAATAGAAGGGTGGGGCAATGAACTGAAGGATTCTACTCTGCAATAGCAAAATAGGAGGGTGTGGCAATAGACAGGAGAGGGGGGGGGGATTCATAGACTGTAGCATTGAAATAGGAGGGTGACACAATAAACTGAATGATTCATACTCTGCAATAACATAATAGGAGGGTGGGGCAATGAACTGGATAATTAATAGACTACAAAGCAAAATAAGAAAAGGGGAGTGGGGCGAGGATACAAGAACTGAAACAGGGATTAGAAGACTCATTTCATATGAATGCAAAAAAAAAAAGAAAAAAGAAATAGTTCAAAGAAAAAAAATCAGAATAAAATACACTTAAATTTAAGGAAACTATATTTGTGGACAATGAAAGTTGAAACTAAATATATCTTTCCCAGACAATCTTTTAAAACTGTAAAATGCAATGTCTTTCTGTTGAACAAATGGACAATAATTTGTAAACATATTACATGTTTCTATATTTGTTGGAACAAATTTTGAATGATTTAATACTACTTGGAAGAAATTTCTTCCAACTTGTGAGAGGATAAAAAATGAAGTGAGCAAGTTGAGTTTATTAACTAAAATAGCCTACTTTATTGGTAATGAATTACATTTTTATATGACCGCAAAAAAATTTTTGTGGTCGTATATTGGTATGACGTTGGTGTCGTCGTCCGAAGACACATTGGTTTTCGCACTCTTACTTTAGTTTAAGTGAATGGATCTCTATGAAATGTTACCATAAGGTTCAATACCACAAAAGGAAGGTAGGGATTGATTTTGGGGGTTATGGTACCAACAGTTAAGGAATTTGGGGCCAAAAAGAAGCATTTTTGTAACTTCCAGACATAACTTGTGTGTTAGTGTATGGATCTCTCTGACATTGTACCACAAGGTTCCATATCACAAAGGGAATGCTTGGATTGATTTTTGGGGTAATTGCCTCAAAATTTTAGGAATTAGGGGCTAAAAAAGGGGCAAAAAAACAAGCATTTTTCTAGTTTCATGACAATAACTTGTGTGTAAGTCTATGGATCTTTCTGAAATTGTACTACAAGGTTCCATATCACAAAGGGAAAGCTGGAATTGAGTTTGGGGGTAATTGCCCAAAACATTTAGGAATAAGGGGCCAAAAAGGGGCCAAAAATAAGCATTTTTCTAGTTTCCAGACAATAACTTGTGTTCAAGTGTATTGATCTCTCTGAAATTGTACTGCAAGGTTCCATATCACAAAGGGAATGTTTGGATTGATTTTGCGGGTAATTGCCTCAAAATTTTAGGAATTAGGGGCCAAAAAAGGGGCAACAAACAAGTATTTTTCTAGTTTCATGACAATAACTTGTGTGTAAGTCTATGGATCTTTATGAAATTGTACTACTAGGTTCCATTTTACAAAGGGAAAGCTGGAATTGAGTTTGGGGGTAATTGCCCAAAACGTTTAAGAATAAGGGGCCAAAAAGGGGGCCAAAAATAAGCATTTTTCTAGTTTCCAGACAATAACTTGTGTTCAAGTGTATGGATCTCTCTGAAATTATACTGCAAGGTACCATACCACAAAGGGAAGGCTGGGATTGATTTTTGGGGTAATTGCCTCAAAATTTTAGAAAAAAGGGGCAAAAAAACAAGCATTTTTCTAGTTTCAGGACAATAACTTGTTTGTAAGTGTATGGATCTTTATGAAATTGTACTACAAGGTTCCATATCACAAAGGGAAAGCTGGGTTTGAGTTTGGGGGTAATTGCCCTAAATATTTAGGAATATGGGGCCAAAAAACAAGCATTTTTCTAGTTTCCGGGCAATAACTTGTGTTCAAGTGTATGGATCTCTATGAAATTGTACTGCTAGGTACCATACCACAAAGGGAAGGCTGGGATTGAGTTTGGGGGTTATGAATCATAAGGGGGTTCAAAAAATTGGGGGGGGATTTTTTTTCCTTTTTTTTTTCTTTAAAATTTTCCATTTTAAATTGGTTATTTCTGATTTATATATAAAAGCAAATAATAATGATATGGTTTGAAAAGGTAAATTAAAAAATTTTAAGTTCTTAGACCACATTCATTCTGTGTCAGAAACCTATGCTGTGTCAAATATTTAATCACAATCCAAATTCAGTGCTGTATCAAGCTTGAATGTTGTGTCCATACTTGCCCCAACTGTTCAGGGTTCGACCTCTGCGGTCGTATCAAGCTGCGCCTGGCAGAGCATTTTATCTAATTTGTTGGAAGAAATTTCTACAGTCGGCGTCGTTGTAGTCGGCGGCGTCCACAAATATTCACTCTGGTTAAAGTTTTTGAAATTTTAATAACTTTCTTAAACTATCCTAGATTTCTACCAAACTTGGACAGAAGCTTGTTTATGATCATAAGATAGTATCCAGAAGTAAATTTAAAAAAAATAAAATTCCATTTTTTCCGTATTTTACTTATAAATGGACTTAGTTTTTCTGCCAGGAAATATTACATTCACTCTGTGGTATAAAGTTTTTAAAATTTTAATAACTTTCTTAAACTATCCTGGGTTTCTACCAAACTTGGACAGAAGCTTGTTTATGATCATAAGATAGTATCCAGAAGTAAATTTTGTAAAAAAAAAAAATCCATTTTTTCCTTATTTTACTTTTAAATGGACTTAGATTTTCTGCCAGGAAACAACACATTCACTCTTTGGTTAAAGTTTTTAAAATTTTAATTACTTTCTTATACTATTTTGGATTTGTACCAAACTTGGACAGAAGCTTGTTTATGATCAAAAGGTAGTATCTAGAAGGAAATTTTGTAAAAAAATAAATCCATTTTTTCCGTATTTTACTTTTAAATGGACTTAGATTTTCTGCCAGGAAACAACACATTCACTCTGTGGTTAAAGTTTTTAAAATTTTGATAACTTTCTTATACTATTTTGGATTTGTACCAAACTTGGACAGAAGCTTGTTGATGATCAAATGCTAGTATCTAGAAGGAAATTTTGTTTTCTTCCAGTTAACATTACATTCAGTCTGCAGTTAAAGTTTTTTAACATTTATTAGATTCATAAACTATCCTGGATTTTTACCAAACTTGGACAGAAGCTTCTTACAATCAAAAGATAGTATCAACAGGAATATTTTTATTGATTTACTTCCTCATTTTTGTTGAGCCTGCCATTAACAGAAAAAGTAGGCGAGACACTGGGTTCGGTGGAACCCTTACGAATTTTTAATTTATAGGTTACTGTTTCTTCATTTCATTGTGATTTGAATGTTTTGTAAAATATAAATGTAAATTTAATATATATATCCAATAAAATTGTCATATTAATGGTGTTTATTTCTCCATGTGTTCCCTTTGCCAGAGAAGAAATTTCTTCTAACAATTTTTTTTACAAAAATACCAATCAAAAGCAGAATATTAGCATATGAAATTGCAAAATTAGGTATATTCACAATAACAGCAAATTTCGACCTCTAAAAAGGACATTCTTGGATTTTCCTTTTTTATTTTGGACTCTCTTTCTAGTTGATATCAAGCGATATCTAATTCTCACTTGTTATGAAACCTATAAATTTTAAAGAAGTTGGTACAGACAAAAATAGTTCTGTATAATTAATGAATACTATATTTCTGTGTGCATAACACATTTTTGTCTGTTCATGTTAGACTAGACATGACTTGCAAACAAATTTCAAATAATGGAAGATTTACCATGCCACTTCAAGGCCATGAACAATGTGGTAATAGATTTTTATGACACTATATGAATATTTTTTCTATAATCCATCTGAATAAAAATTCTATTCAAGTTTTTATGCCCCCGCCGTAGCGGAGGGGGCATTAAGTTTTACCCTTGTCCGTCTGTATGTGTGTACGTCCCGAAATTGGTTTCTGTTCTCTAACTTTAGTTTGCCTCAACCAAATGTTATGAAACTTATACCCAATGCTTATTATCACAAAACACAGATCAAGTTAGAATTTTGGTGGCGTCACTTTTACCATTCAAGAGTTATGTCCTTTACGAATGGAAAAAATGTTGAATTTTTAGTTTCCGTTCTCTAACTTAAGTTTGCCTTAACCAAATGTTATGAAACTTATACACAATGCTTATTACCATAAAACACAGATCAAGTTTGAATTTTGGTGGTGTCACTTTTGCAATTCTAGAGTTATGTCCCTTTACAAATGGAAAAATTGCTGAATTTTTCGTTTCTGTTCTCTTACTTTAGTTTGCCTCAACTAAACGTTATGAATCTGATACACAGTGTTTGTTACCTCTAAACACAGATCAAGTTAGAATTTTGGTAGCGTCACTTTTACTGTTCTTGAGTTATTAGATATAAGAAGATGTGGTATGAGTGCCAATGAGACAACTCTCCTTCCAAGTCACAATTTGTAAAAGTAAACCATTGTAGGTTTAAGTACAGCCTACAACACGGAGCCTTGGCTCACACCGAACAGTTAGCTATAAAGGGCCCTTTATAGTGTTGTATGCAAGCAGGGGCATCATCTGTGTCCCATGGACACATTCCCCATTTATTAACTTCAAAAGGCACAATATATAATTTATCTTTTCAGTGTCTTTATGATTTCTTTTTTATAAAAGGATAAATTTATCATTTAAAATTCATGGTGTAAAAGATTTCCAGTTTCTTTAAAAGAGTATATTTATCAGAGGTCTACCAGAGAAATAAAAAATGTTATTCCATATTGATAGAACTTTAGTAGGTTTTTGTCGAGCCTGCGACTTTTGTCGCAGAAAGCTCGACATAGGGATAGCGATCCGGCGGCGGCTACGGCGGCGGCGGCGGCGGCGGCGGCGTTAGCTAACTTCTTAAAAGCTTTATATTTTAGAAGGTGGAAGGTCTGGATGCTTCATACTTTGTATATGGATGCCTCATGTTACGAAGTTTCTGTCAGTCACATGTCCAATGTCCTTGACCTCATTTTCATGGTTCAGTGACTACTTGAAAAAAAAGTTAAGATTTTTTGTAATGTTAAATTCTCTCTTATTATAAGTAATAGGATAACTATATTTGGTGTGTGCGTACCTTGCAAGGTCCTCATGCCCGTCAGACAGTTTTCACTTGACCTCGACCTCATTTCATGGATCAGTGAACAAGGTTAAGTTTTGGTGGTCAAGTCCATATCTCAGATACTGTAAGCAATAGGTCTAGTATATTCGGTGTATGGAAGGACTGTAAGGTGTACATGTCCAACTGGCAGGTGTCATCTGACCTTGACCTCATTTTCATGGTTCAGTGGTTATAGTTAAGTTTTTGTGTTTTGGTCTGTTTTTCTTATACTGTATGCAATAGGTCTACTATATTTGGTGTATGGAATGATTGTAAGGTGTACATGTCTAGCTGACAGGTGTCATCTGACCTTGACCTCATTTTCATGGTTCAGTGGTCAAAGTTAAGTTTTTGAGTTTTGGTCTTTTTTTCTAATACTATATGCAATAGTTCAACTATATTTGGTGTATGGAAATATTTTATGATCTTTATGTCAGTCACGCAGGTTTTATTTGACCTTGACCTCATTTTCAAGGTTCATTGCTCAGTGTTAAGTTTTTGTGTTTTGGTCTGTTTTTCTTAAACTATAAGCAATAGGTCAACTATATTTGTTGTATGGAAGAATTGTTAGCTGTACATGCCTGCCTAGCATGGTTCATCTGACCTTGACCTCATTTTCATGGTTCATTGGTCAATGTTTAGTTTTCTTGGTTAATGTTAAGTTTGTGTGACAGTTGTAATAAAGCTTTATATTTAGGACTATCAACATAATATCAATGATTAGTAAAGAAGGCGAGACATTTCAGCGTGTGCACTCTTGTTCTATATGAATGGGATTTTGAATAAATAAGCATATTCACCTGCGGAAAAAGTATATTCACCGTGCAAAACGTCGCGCGCTTTTACGTGTATAATAACGATACAATGTTTGACGTTTAGTTGGTTTTGGTAAATAAGTGTTATTTTATACATATTTTTCTTGCTCGGAACATGGAATAAAACAATTACTGTCTCTTGTTTCGGTAAATATGTGGTTTAATTGACTTTTGAAAAACCTAGTGACATTCACTTCGGCCGTTGGCCTCAGTGAATGTCAGTTTTTTCAAAAGTCAATAAAACCACACATTGCGATACTGGTCTTATATTCTTCTTTTATGTATCAATAATGATTCATGTACCCTGTTATAGTTGATTCTTGTTTAGGTGTTCCTAATAATTTTTTACCGGATTTTCGAAGGAAAAATCGGTTATTGATTTGAGGGTGTACAGCGGGCGTGCAGGTGGGCAGCTGCCTAACAGTGTCCGTTCATTAACATGAAAACGATTTGACAAACTTTTTTCAAATTTATATATGTTGTTTCCTGTGATTTAATAAAGGTCAAGTTCAATTTATACAATTTTAGCTTTTCTCGTTGTTGAGTTGTAGACCTTTCAGTAGCCAAAAGTGATATTTATTATAAGATTGAGTTATTTCCCTTTGAACAGAAATGGTGTAATTAATAAGTTTATGTATAGATAGTCTATCAATGATTGTATCTGTTCAATTGATTTTAGTCAGTTGTTGTCAAAAATTACTTTATACCTATTTAAGTCATGAGTGTTTTGAAGGAAGATGTCACAGTTGTTATGTGGTATTTTATTTTTGTTGGGTGCGTTAATGTTTAATTTTTACTTGATCCTGTTTGGGGGTCCAGATTTGCAAATATCATTTTCATTAGATAATAATCTATTTTTATTAAAGGATAAATTTCATTACATTACATTGTGTATATAAAGTTGTTGACATTGATAGATAAGTTGCAGATCTATATTAGTTTGTGACAAATGAAAGAAAAAATATTGGGAACTATTAATTATATATATAAAGTTTGATTACACTAAGTGTTTTTAAATAATTTTCACCTGTTATCAGATAACAAAGCATGTGGTAAATATCAATCACAGAATTATAATTTGATTTTTTTTCAGTTTCCTAAGTGTTGATGATGATAAGCTCTGTAGGACTGTATAAATATAGTTAGACTGTTCATTATTAGACATTTTGAAGATAATTACAGATAAGTTTTATAAATTTTTAAAAGACATTGTATTAATGATAAATGACATTTTGGATTTTTTTTTCTTTTCTTTGGTAAATTGTTTGAAGAATTTTGTGGTAAGTTTGTTTGTTATTCTGTATAAACTAATTGTCTGAATGCTATATATATATTTTTTTTTATGACTCGAACTCCTTTAAAAACTAAGCTTATATTGTCTATTAATAAACATATATTTAGATTTCTGATTTTGGGCCCAGTTTTCAAGTTGGTCCAAATCGGGGTCCAAAATTAAACTGTGTTTGATTTCAACATAAATTGATTATATATAGGGTTCTTTCAAATGCTGAATCTAAACCTGTATTTATTTTCATTATTAATTAGATAATACCACATTGAGGTCCAAAGGGTCCTAAATTAAACTTTTGTTTGATTTCATCAAAAATTGAATTCTTGGGGTTCTTTGATATGCTGATTCTAACAATGTACTTAGATTTTGGATATTGGACCATAATAGGTAATTGTTCGATTTCAAATTTTCCAGTTCTTTGACCACATTCATTTTGTGTCACAAACCTATGCTGTGTCAAATATTCAATCACAATCCAAATTCAGAGCTGTTTTAAGCTAAAATGTAGTGTCCATACTTGCTCAACTGTTCATGGTTCGACCTCTGCAGGAAAATCCGGATTTGCTGTCACTCTGACACCCTCTTGTTAAACCCTGTTGTTGCAGTTCTCATATTCAAATGTTCATGTAATTTTTCTTAAACCCTGTATTTGTAGCTTTCTTGTTTAAGTGTTCTTAGTACTTATCTCCCTTGCCTATCAATTTTGCACTTAAAAACTCGTGTCTCATCCTAGCGTTGAAAAGACATCTCAGTTCCGTTAGGGCTAAGGGAAATATATTATTTTGCCTTTGGTATAATGTAGAGTGCACGAAGTCTCTAATAATAAAAAATAACGAGTGCGCATATCGACCAATCAGCATGATCAGGATTAACCATACTCTTAATTCTGAATACCATGTCTTCATAAAATGGCTGAGCCCATAATATTTAATGGTTGATTGTAACCTTCAACTAAAAACTGGGAATTTGTATGTAAAGACAGTATTAAATGTACATATTTTAATATATCAGCAAACTGTATTAATGATAATGATATTAGTAATACAAAAGTATTACAGTTGATCTTAATGCCACATGTCTATATATATACTAAAAACTGTTAAATCAAACTAACTGTTACAAATCTGTTACTGTGCATACTTAGTAAAGGATTTATCTGTTCTTATGTAGCAACAATAGCTATCAGAATTTTATTTTCCCCGAAGTTTTGATCAAATGATCTCCAATGTTAGCCTTACCGTCACTAGTAGCTGCGCCAATACAAAAAGAGTGTCCTTTATAAAAGTCTTTCATTTTCAGTAATGAACAGTGGATATGAAAGTGCACATTGGCCTTTAACTGATCTTAATTTTAAAGAACTTTTTAAAGCTGTATGTGGACATAGCATATTGTTAAGCCTATGCAATTCTATGTCAATACCTTTTCTAAAAGGATGAGTTCCAGATTGTTTTAAATGAAGAATTGCAAAATTTGCATGAAACACATAAATTACATTCTGAATCAAAATTAAATGCTTTATCAGTAAATTCACCACACTGTAAAAACTCGTGAAATGCTACAATACAAACACTTTCAAGCATACAATATAAAAATTCTCTATTGTAACCCATCTTCAGTTTGAAACATACTTGGTGAAGTATGTCAGAAGTAATTGGAAGTCTTGGCCTGACAGACTATTTTTGTGACTGTTTAAATGACTTCAGTACTTCATTCATAATATGATTACAGAGCTGCAGGTAAGAATTCTCAAATTGGGGTTTTTATCCACTTTTTTTTATGTAAATGAGTGAAATAGTTTTTTTTGCATTATTAATTCCAATTTACCCCTCAAGCAAATATCAAATTGGGTTTTTCACCACCAAGCTCCTTAATGTATTGGACTTTTTCATCATCAAGATATTGAATTTAGGCATGTTATAATTATGAAATTATATCAAACAGAGATGTTCATCCATCTTAGATATGTTTCTTTCATTATATATGTGATGGCCGTTTTATTTGGTTTATACCCTGATGAGCAATTTTTCGTTTAATTTGTGTTTCGTTTAATCTGCCAGTTCTGTATTTTCTCTCAATTTATATAAACTGGTTTAATTCTTGCACCACTGAGATGAAACCCATGCTTGTCGTACTAACAATGTTCTCGTTACTTTAGGCGCGTGGTTTTCTGTCTTGGTGTGCTATGCATGAACCCGTGCGTCCGAGGAACGCTTCCTGATAACACTAGCTGAGTCTTGCTCAATCATTCAAATCATGTTAAGTATTGTATGTTTTGTCTTGTAGTCATAATTAAACTGTAATTATATTGCACTAGTACGGCCACTGTGATTACCATTGGAACTCGAGTAATAGTCGATCCGACTATTAGTCGGCTGCCCTTTTCAGCTCCAAATTCTAAGGATTTAGTCTTGACCCTCGTATAAGTCGGACAAAATATGGACATTTCTTTGGCAGCTGACAATTACTGAACGCCGGTAAAACCAATGCAAATCCAGGAATTATATTCATTTTCAGCATGAATGCATGTTTGTTTGGTTTGAATTTAATTGATGTTGATCATGATAATTTATATTGCTGTTAATAATAAAGATGTATTCATTCCTCTTGTTTTGTTCACTGTTTGATTAGCCATGTGTTGTTTACGTAATGCATAAATGATTTTGAGGGTAAGACTAACAACCTATTGTTTGAGAAAAGCGAACATAAACCAATATGAACCTGAAAAAAATTAAAAGTCAAACAATATTTTTCACAGCACGCATAACTCAGGGTTTAATGAGCATGTACACTTCATAATTCTTATTATATTGTGTTGATTAAAGGATTAAAAAAATTAAGTGAACCTAATCAACTTTATATTAAAATAACTTTCAACTCATTAGTGTCATCTGTTCACCTATCACTGATATTTTTCACACCTTTAGTGAATACAACTCTTTGTCTCTTAATTAGGGGTTATCAATGGATTATATTGGCTTGTCAATCAATTTTGTAATTTTTGTTTACCTGAGACATTTTAATGAATAATATTTTGATCTTGGGAATGAATCTTAAGATTATTTTTGGTTATTGTATGATTTATAAGTATTGAATTGATATCATGATATCACAATAATGACACAACAACTCCGCTGAATACATCCTTTCACATAGTTGGTACATTGTAGTCTCCTTTTCATTTTTGGTTCTTGGCTCTTCTTTTGGGTAAAAGCACAAACCATTTGACCCTGAAAATCAATACCCAAACCGGAAACAGTGGGAATTTCAACAAAGAGCAAATAAAACACAAGGACAGTATTGTAGTCATTTATTTTGAATAAACACTTTTTATTTATTGATTTATGTAGGTTTGGCAATCACAAACGTAGTTTTGACCAGGAAATTGACTTCTGACCACTTTTCTCAAGCTTTGACTTTTCCTCTGGTCGCTGGATCTCGTCTATTAGTCGGTACCCCTCTCTGGATTATGAATTTTACTCCCAATTTTCCGACTAATAAGCAAGTAGGTACGGGTAGTTAATAACTTTATTTGTATTTGTATTGTATATTTTATCATAATTATCCCTCAGCTATCAAAAAGAAGCTGAAAACATGCTTCTATTCAATATTTTTACTGGATATTTACTTTCGTTATAATTCATTTATTGTCAGAAATCC